GGATCTGCGGGCGGGCTGAGCCTGGAGCAGCCCTGGGAAGGGTCGGGACATGCAGCGAGGGAGGAATTGCTGACACGGAGAAGGCAGCAGAGAGGGGTTTTCTGCCAAGGCTGCCTTCCCACGGACCCTGCTGCGGGAGGAGGCTGCCGGAGGGAGCAGCGAACACGGCGAGCCTTTCGCAATGGCTCTGGTACGGTGAGGAAACGCTCCTGGCACGCAGAGGGATGCCGTGTGTTGCCATCCCCGTGTCTTGCGGTCCTCGGGATGAGCCCAAAAGCGTTGAACGAGAGCCTGGGAGCGTGTCCAAGCTGCTCAGGGTTTTCCTGGGATGCCCATCCCAGGTGTGGATACAGCACTATCCCTGCAAGAAGGAAGGCAGCGGGGGCTGAGCCCCTGCCCTGACCGTGCGTCGACTCCGGCCCCGGCCAAGCAAACTGCCTGCAGCTCCGCTTCCCGTTGGGAAAGGGCTGGGAAAGGGCGAGAAGAGCGGGTTGTTGCATCAGGGCTCTGCTCCCCTGGGAACGCCTGGGTGACAGCGGGTCTGCCCTCCCCTCGCAGGACAGGCTTGCGCTGCGTCTAACCCTTTTTCCACCATTCCTAGCTCTCCAGCGCCGTTGGATAAAGAGCGCCCTGTTTCGGGTACAGCTGATCAGACCCAGGCTCACGAACGGGCTGTTGTGGTGGAGGAGGGAGCTTTGCTGGCTCCTTTTTGGTTATTTTTAGCTTGCTCTCCTTCTTCTGCAGGTTCCCAGGCTGGGTGGGGGCATTTTTCCAGCCTGGGGCTGCAGGGATGGTGGGAATTGGGGGTCCCTATGGAAAAGCTGTGAAGGGAGCGAGGAGGGTTAGGGGCAACGGGCTGGAAAGGCTCCCTGATCCTAGTTTTTCTCCTCTCCTCCCAGAGTTAAAAGCTCCCTTTGTCCCTCCCAGCCCCTCCACGGGAGCAGGGGTCCCCAAGTGCTATCCAGAGCCAGCTGCCGCTCTAACTGCTGCAGGAAGAGGTGGGGAGGGCAGGAAGCACCCAAGGGAGAGCGTCGGGACTTCTGCCCGTGACAAATCCCCCCGTGACCTTTACATAGCCGGCTCTTGCCCCCGAGGCTGTGATTTTTTGCCTGCCCTTGGCACCAGTGGGGGGGCTGGCAGCGAGCGCCGCTTGGGTTAGTGAGACACAGCGAAGATAAACAATTTGGAAAGCAAACACCAGTGGCATTTGGGGCTGGAATTTCCAGCTGTTACGCCGATTTTTTGTCAATTGTAATGGGGTGATTGAGGGAGCAGCTGCCTCTTTCTGGGAAAAAAACCCCTGGGCTGGCATCTGTTGGGTGCCTTGGTCTTGCACCCAGGACAGGGTGGTTAGCCTGGAGCTCAGGAGGTGTCCAGACTGGTTTTGTCCATGAATCCAGCCTTTTCTCCCCACCAGGCAGTTGGTTTCCTGAATGCATTCATTGCTTCGTGATTTAACTTTTATTCCAGTTGCACAGATTCCTTGTGGGTACCCGGGATCCGGGCGGTCCTGTCCGTCGGGGAGTGGTGGGAAAGGGCGAGTGGAGGCATTTGCAGAGCAGGCGCTGTGCCGTGGCTCTGGCCGCGGATTCGGCAGCCGGTGCTCGTGTAGAATCAGGGTGTGGGATTTTGAAATCTGTCTTCTTGCATTCATGCCAGCAAATTCAACTGCATGAAACTGGATGGAGAACAGACTGCCGGCTGCGTGGAGTCCAGGAAGGCTTTGAACCTTCCAGCGTGTTGGAGACAATTGTAAAGCTTGTGGTGGCCTCAGGCTTGTTGCATTCCCATTATTCTGGACACAGGGCTGTTGTGGGGACTGCTGGCTGTGAGCTGGTTTCCTGCAGATTGCTTGGAAGCGGATCCTGCTTTCCCCGAGCAGGCTGCAGAGCCTCTGCGAGGGGCTACAGCTTTGCAGGGAGAGGCTGGGACCAGCAGCAGGGAAGGACCACGGCAATGGGCTGCGATCCGGACTGCGACAGTCCCCATGGGGACGTGGCAGCGGGTGGCAGGCAGTAGGGTGGATAAAAGGGGCTGCATCTGCCTCCCGACACTTTCCTTCTGTGCTGACAAATGCCACATGATGCTGCCGATCTCCAGCCTGAATTTCTGGCTCCGTGACGATTCCTGCTATATGCCGAGTCCCTAAACATCTGCAGCGTTAGAGCCTCGCGCGGAGGGGATGGTGCAGGCTCTGCAGGGCCAGGTTGTTCCTGGAAGTGCTGAGAGCTCAGCCAGCTCCCAAGAGCAAGGCGACAGCTCTGTCCTGTCCCCCACCCTCCCTGTGACACTGCCTGGGGCGGCTGCTGGGTGGCCTGAGCTGAGCGTTGCAAGCCCAACGCCTGGATCGCAGCGTGTACTGGTTGGAATATCACGTCCCAGCTGCCTCCTCCCCTCTGCAACGGGCCAAAGGCAAGATTTCAGCCCCTCACTGCTCCCCTGAGCATTGTGGGTGTTAAAATCCAGGTCTGAGTTTTGGAGCTGAGGCACAATCCCTCCCATGGAAAGGTCTGGGACAAGGTGGGGGGAGAGCCACGTGCAGGGGGGGACGTGGCTGGGAATGGAGTGGGGTGCTGCAGGGAGGGACGGCACGTAGAACAGCTCCCTGTCACGAATTTTCCCGTTCTCTGCAGCCCGCCGTTGAATCCGAACTCTTACAACACAGAAGCACGCACGTACATCCCCAAAGGGGACTTACTGCAGCACTGCTGAGCTGAATATCTGGCAGCATTCGGGCCCTGTTGCTCTTCCCTTGTTCCTCCCTTCCCCCAGCAAGATGCCAGAGCTCTGATTGAAAACAGCAGGCATGTGAGGCTTGTAGGGTTAAACAGAGCCAGATGGGAGCGGGTCGAGACAAAAAGGAAAGTAACAGGCTGGGCCTGGAGAGGGGGGGGCAAGAACAGGATCTTTTCTTGGAGAAAGTCAATTACTTGGAGCCCCAGGAATGTGTGAGATCGCTTCAAAGGGATCCGGGCTGGCGCAGCCTTGGGAACCCATCGAGGGGCCCTAAGGGCATCCCTTGGCGGAGTGGGGATGTAGGAGCTGTAAGCAAAAAGGGGTTGGTGTGGCAGGGGGCTACCCCAGCAGCATGGTCTGGGGTGCTCGCAGGGCGGATGAGGGCTGGGGATGCTGCCCTGCTGCGAACGGCACATGCCTGGCTCAGCCCTGTTTGCTGCTCCCGCCGGCACGGAGCAGGGCTGGCTGAGCCCCTGGCACCAATGCCCCTGGTCCCCGTGGCTATGAGCTCCGCTCCGTGTTGCATGGGAGAGGGCGATGAGCCAGGAGAGCCTGGTTTCTCTCCGGCATTGCCAAAGGCTCTGCCCCACAGCACTGTTTCCCCAGGAGATCCTCTCCCCATCTGCCTCCCCATCTTCCTCCCTCTTTCCTCTCGCTTGATTCTCTTTCCCACCCTGCTCTGCCGAGCTCCTCCATCTGCCTCGCCGTGCATCCAGCTCCTCTCTGTTCCTGCTGGGGTGACAAGTGCCGCCAGGAAAAGCCTGGCAAATGCCCCGAGGTATCTGCCCAGGAAGCCCACAGCCTGGTCTGCTCCATCTGGCCCCGGGGAGTGTCGGAGCATCCGAAGCACCTTCCGCACAGGGCTTTCTGGGGAGCTTGTCTGCAACAAGCTGGATCCCTCCATCCTTCCAGGCATCAGCTGGAGAGCTACCAGCAGAGTCTTGCAAGGATGATTGCGGCTGTTCCAGGCAGCAGCAGGGAGGGCAGAGATGGGACAGGCAACCGTGGGCTTGGTAACAACCCAGAGAAGAGGGAGAGTTGGTATGTGTAAGGTGTTGGGCCGGTGTCCAGGAGAAATTCTCTGGCTGGGGACAAGCAGAGACCTCACCTGATCCCTCTAGATCTCCCACTGCTACTGGAGCTCTCCCCAGATAACCAGCCCAGCAGCCTGCAGTGGGTCTGGAGGGGATGGATCGGTTATTTGGGCAGCACAGGGAGCTGTATAGCCAAACACCTTTGGTGTTGCCCACGTATAATCTTGCAAATGCCCTTTTTATCACACAGCCTTGGAAATGGGCTGTCCTGCATTAAAGCCCTGTCCCTGCACAGAAGCCCATCCATCTTTGCTGCCCCACTAACTGCTGCTGGCCTCCTGATGCTGTCGCTCAGCAAATTTCCTACTGAATCATTAATTTTTTTTTTTTTTGGCTCAAGAGCAAAATTAAGTCTAATCCATCAAGGTCTCTGAAGAGGCAATCCACCCTTCGGGGTGAGAGCACAGTGGTGTTGGGGATCACGGTGGGGGCCAGGCCGAGGGTGACATGAGACAAAAAACACAAAGAAATTTGAAAAACCCTCACACAGACCCCCCTCCATGGCATAAAGCTGAGCCAGAGGGAGGGGATCTCAATGACTCATGCTCTGGAGTGGGGTTGGATTTAAAGATAACTTCCAAGGAGAAGGAGAGAAAATAGCAGGCTACTGGCAGGGATGTGGGGTAAATTCCTGCCTGTCGGTGATGGAGGAGATGGGCGATGATGCGGTACCTAAATCGGGCACTTCCTAACCCACCTCTTCTTGTTGCCTCCCTCAGGGAAACATCTGGACCATGAAGGTGGCCTTCAGATTGCTTCTCCCGCTTGTTCTTGTGCTGATCTCGGAGGTAAACGGGCAGCGGAGGAAGCCTCCCCGGAAACCCACCCGCCCGCCTCCAGAGTTTGTTGAACCCGTCGAGCCCACAGAGCTGCCCCCACCCCTGCCGCCGGGTCCCCCCTCCATCTTCCCTGACTGCCCCCGGGAATGCTACTGCCCCCCGGACTTCCCTTCTGCCCTCTACTGTGACAGCCGCAACCTGCGGAAGGTCCCCATCATCCCATCCCGCATCCACTACCTCTACCTCCAGAACA